GGCATTTTTCTGAAACAACATGTCTTGATTTAATGCATTTTATATATGCAAAAAGTGCGTTGGGCAAAGTTACTATCTGGTTTATAATTTCCAGGGTGACTTTACCCGGGTGGGGGGACTTTGCCCACCACGGGTTTAGTTGACATGGGTGACTTTGCCCACCACATTTTTGCCCTCAATTTAAGATATGTTACATACTATCATTATACTCAATAATATAATTAACTTTTGCTAAGTACTCACCTCAATATATCGTAGTTAACTGTTGGAGCCAAGTGGAAGTTTGAAACACATAAAATATACGTAAAAAATTAGCTCAGCTTCAAGGCACTGTCATTGCTAACATGCAACTGATGGCAAGCGCTCACGCCTGCGTTAGAGACGCGGTACGTCCCCGCCAATAATTTCCAGGTAACAGATACCGAGTACCGTTAAAGTAGTGACTACGGGTCCGTTCAACATATTTTCGGGCGTAATTGGGTAAAGCCAAAGTCACCCCATTTCACGGTACCGCCGAAAATATACATTTTATAAAAAAAAGTTTCAGACAAAAGTTTTATAGTTTTTTGGGGCAAACAGTTTGGCAGAATTAATTTTTTTATAACTGACCATAATATGGCCGTATCGAGGTGGATTTTTTTATTTCAAATGGGAACCCCATTTTTTTTACATATTCTTAAAGTAACACCTACTTGAAAATTGTGCTGCTCAAAAAAAAAAGTTGGCCATATTATGGTTAGCTATAAAAAAAGATTTTAGCCAAAATGTTAACTCCAAAAAAATATAAAACTTTCGACTGAAACGTTTTTTTATAAAAAAAGTATTTAACTGTTACACTTTAAAAATTTGCCGTATAAGGTCTGGGTTTAATAAAAAATTAGATGTCCCAAATCAACGACGTCTTATCAAAAAACAACCCTTTATAAAAAAGGATTACTTTTTTTTAAATTAATAGACGTGACAGATTATGACTAAAGTAGATATGATAGTTAATTCGTAAGGTCTTCTTGCAGTAAAATACTGGATATCCTAAACCCCTGGCGTCTTAGAAAAAAACAACCCTTTATAAAAAGCGAATTATTTTTTTTTTTTTAAAAACTGAGGCGTCACAAATTACTACTAGTGTATATCTCACAAGGACCACTTACAGTAAAAAACTGAATGTCCTAAACCCCTGGCGCCTTATAGAAAAACCACCCTTTATAGAAACATAATTACTTTTTTTTTTTGAAAAAATTATGTGGCGTGATAGATTTTGATTAATAGATATAAGAAATACCTTTATTTTTTTTCAGTAAGCTGTCTTTATGGGGTACTTCTTATAACCGCTAGTCGTAATGTGTCACGCCTCATAGTTTTTTCAAAAAGAAAAATAAAAATTATTATTTTTTAATAAAAGGTGGTTTTTCTATAAGATGACAGGGGTTTAGGACATCCAGTTTTTACTGTAGGTAGACCTTGTTAGGTACTTCTTATATTCACTAGTCGTAATCTGTCATGCCTCATAGTTTAAAAAAAAAAAAAAATCTTCTTATGAAGGGTGGTTTTTCACGCCAGGGGTTTAGGACATCTAGTTTTTTACTGTAAATAATCCTTGTGAGGCTTCTTATTTCCCAAAGTCGTAGTCTAACACGCCTCATAGTTTAAAAAAAATAATTATGATTTTATAAAAGAGGTTTTTCTATAAGACGCCAGGGGTTTAGAACATCTAATTTTTACTGCAAGAAGACCTTGCGAATTCTCATATCTACTAGTCGTAGTTTGTCATGCCTCTTAGTGGCTTAAAAAAAATATTTTTTTTATAAAAGGTGATTTTTTGATGAGACGTCTGTGGTTTAGGACATAATTTTTTATTAAATTCAGACCTTATAGGGCATCTCTTACTTCCGTTATTCACTATCTGTCATACGACAAATTTTTAAATATATATGTAATAAAAACTTTACAAACCTCGCCCTTTAATCAAAAATCGAATCATAACTATTAATTTCCTATGAATTAACAAACATAATAAATGAATGTAATAATATATTTTTAAACAGTATTAATAATTTCAGTTGTGTGGACTTGGTTAGGAGGTGGGGATAGGGCGCTGAGTTTGGGCGCCAGCGTGTAATAAGGGAATAGAGAACGACCAAAACTTGGCTTTATTCAGCAAATAACTGGACTTATAAAAATGACATATTAATCAGATTATAACATTAACGAATAAACAATCTCCTATGCGATGCAAGAGTATACACTGCACAACTCGTATACAGTGTGTACATGTAATGCTCATTACATCCACCCTTCCTTAAAAACGAACATAGTCCTTTAAATATTTTGGTGGTGCCCTGGTTCGGATTGATCTTGATGCAGATGGTATATTTTCATTATGAGTCAGTTGTTGACTAGATACAAACGATTGATCATTTTGACTCGATTCTAACGATTGATCTGGTTGACTAGACTCTAACCCTAATGATTGCTCTGTATGGTTTTCGTCCTTTCTAGGTAACTTATTTTCTTCGTCACTTATTAAATTTGTAAAAATAGAAACTGGTGGTATGGTAGCTCGAGCAAGGCTGCACACTTTCAGGGGCGTCTTTAAACCACCGAAATTAATTTCAAGTTTAGAATGGTCTTTTAGAATGTCGTGGCCAAGAATGAGATCTGAGCATAAATTTTTCATAATTAATAACTTAACGTTTTCGTATTTGTGATCACATATTTTTAGAGACACAATGCAACTTTCTTCTATTTTAGTTACAAGACTTGATGAAGCCATATTTATTTCCTCATTACATTGCATTGGCGTAATTTTGCAATCGTTAACGATAGATTTATTTATAAAACTTAAACTACTTCCAGTATCGACCAGTCCTGTAACTTTTACCCCGTTTACATATACTGGCAATAATGTTTTTTCAAGGCAATTAGGATGCATAGAAGAGAGCACACAACCAAAAATGTCACTCGTAGAATTTACCGCAGCTGTTACATACTTTCCTTTGCTACTCTTGCAGACTTTAGCAAAATGGCCCCGCTTTTGACACAACCTGCAGTTTACGTCCGAAGCTGGACATTCGTATCGAGAATGAATTTTATTTCCACAGAAGTAACATTTTCGGAAATTAGATTTAGAGGCGACTTTCGAAGAAGCAGTAATGCAACTAGGATTATTCTCTGGACTTAGATTTACGATATCACTCGATTCGATTTTCGACATAGTAGAAGTTGAAGTTAAAGCACTTGTAAAATTAGTGTTTGTTACAAATTGTTCGGAATGTTTCTGAGCCATTTCTAGAGATTGGGCTTGATTATACGCTTCATCTAGAGTAAGATTAGAGTTTTCTAAAAGGCGTTGACGAATAGGAGCTGAAGAAAGACGAGATGAAGGCGTCTCTTATATACTCATTTTTATTCTGTTCTGCTGTAACAGCTTTGAAATCACAATCCTTTGCGAGTTGATGTAATGATTGTAAATACATATCCACATTTTCACTGGTCTCCTGTGGTCGAGTAGCAAGGCAGTGTCTGGCAAACAGGATATTCTTACGTTTTACATAAGTATTCTCTAGGACTCTTATAGCTGTCCTGTAGTCATTAATTTCACTAATCACTGAGAACACCTGAGGGGATACATAATTGGTTAACAGTTTCAGCTTTACAGAATCAGGGCAATCTTCTTTGTGAGCTTCGATGAAATTCTCGAATGTTTGAATCCAATGTAACCATTCGGCTCCAGAGGTTTTGGAAGACGGATCAATTTCAAAACGTTCGGGTTTTAGGTACTTCTCCATAATCCAAATGACCTGTTATTTATTTTGCTGAATAAATTGTAATAAGGGAATAGAGAATGACCAAAACTTGGCTTTATTCAGCAAATAACTGGACTTATAAAAATGACATATTAATCAGATTATAACATTAACGAATAAACAATCTCCTATGCGATGCAAGAGTATACACTGCACAACTCGTATACAGTGTGTACATGTAATGCTCATTACACAGCGTCGGGCGCTAACTTCACACAAGTAATTTTTTTTTATATACAGGTAGCTAAACTCATAAACAATTACTCCAAATTTATTTAGTATTTTTACCCAAAACGCCGAAAAAAGTTAGCGTTGATGCTATTTTGACCTTGTTCAGTCTTAAATTAGATTTTCCATAAGGTTAATTTCCTTAAGAATTATAATTTGCTCATTCTCATTTAATTTCGTAAATTTGGAATATGAATGATTTTATTTATGTGCAGTGATTTATGATTCGAATATATTTAATTGAAGAATACTTTTTTAAAGTCTTGTTCAGAGTAGGAGACGCGCGAGTCGCGATCGATACGCGATTTATATCTCAAATATCGTATCGCTGGTCGCTCTCACTCTGAACGTTAGCGGTTGGTAGGCTTTAAGCCTTGTTGAGTAGAAGCGGGGAGCGTAGCGAAGCAATAGCATTGCGTCGAGCGACGCGTCGTCGGTAAAACAACCTAGTGTTACCTAACGCAAACGTTCAGAGTGAGAGCGACCAGCGACACTCTGAACAAGGCTTTAGAGTTCATTAATTTTAAAACATTCTTACTTGATATTATTTATCAGATTATTTTCCAATTATTATGCCACCGGTGCGAGAGATTATATAAGAGCGTGCGCACACTAGGCGACCAGGTCGCAACGGACAGGTCGTCGCGACCACTAGAACCATTCATTTTAATTATGCACTACTGATCACGACCAAGAGGTTGCGACGACCAACGAAAATCCGCTCGACGTATAGACGGCCAGTAAAACGATGCGATCAACAAGATGCATTGTGTTAAATGAGAGTTAATCCACAGACAAATATTAGAAAGCTGATACTTGCTGGATATTTATTTTGAAACTAGAAGTTTGGTCGCTTGATATTGGACGTGATAACTGTCGCAAATATGTATGTCTTGGTCGCGACGATCTGGCCGTCGTGACCTGGTCGCCCAGTGCGCGTACCTTCGATTAAGTTTTTAATTCTTATAGACCATAGCTATGAAAGCAGCTTGTACCAAATACGATAAGATATTTAAAGAAATTAGAGTATCTCCCGCCATTATGGAAATAGAAAACAAATACAATGACTTAAAAAAATATTTGACTCACCACACGGGCATGCTTGTAAAAGACATTGAAGATATAGAATCATTATCTAATACACTAGAAATCGAAAAGTCTCAAAATTTTACGTTACCATCTTGGGTTAATAAATCTATGATGGCAACAATGAAGGAATTGGGTGCTAGAAATCTAGCTTTATATTCGGAAACTGAATATATGAAACGTATGAAAGGAGGTCAGTAAGCAAAAAAGTATTTTTAAAATTATAAGCTATATACAAGTTACATCTTTTTTTTCAGGAATATTTTTAAAAAACGTAATAGATTCCATGGAGAAGACAATAAATGGTGTGGTGACGCCTACATTATATTTATATGCTGCTCACGATTTAACTTTGGTTCATATTTTAAGAACCCTTAATTTGATAGATATATTAAAACCAGAATTTGGGGCCGTACTGATATTTGAACTTTATTCAGATGGAGAAATTAAGGTACCTACCTACATAAATAGTTTTCAGGTTAACATTAGTTCATTAACAGTTTATTTTTAATAATAGGTTTATTATATTTTCCTTTGTAGATAAACTACAGAAATGCTTGGAATGCTGTTCCAGTGACGCAGGTGACAGCAAACTGTCCAACTCCTTGTAGTTTAAACGATTTCAAAAAATCTTTGGAAAGGGTTCTACCAGTTGATTTTAATCAAGAATGTAGTTTAGATTAAAATATATCTAATATATATTTAGAATGAGCGACGCTATTTATTTTTAATTGTTTACTGTGTAAGATTTAGTAAAAATTGTAACTATGTTTAAAATAAATTACTTGTTTATTTCGTTTTAATCATTAAATACACCGATTTATAATCAACTGAGTCAATTTAAAGTTGTTTTGAAATTGTTTACAATCTATAGTGTCGGTGTTCGAAATAGATCGATTTACCTGTAAGGATGATAGACATAAATTATTCGAGCTGATATTAATTATTACACCCTGTAGTACTTACGCTTTTAATCATGCCGACAAGCACAATATACAAAGAACTTAAAAAATGTTAACGCCTAACTCACCACATATATCTATGTAAACATTAATCATTGTATTTATTTGGTTAACTAGATCGCCCCGGGCAATTCCAAGGGATAGGAGCAGAAATAATTAGATATATAAGGTCTGTTCTGGTTTTGAGAAATAACGATCCACAACTGTCGGGCTCATGCGCAGTAGATAAAAAGTGTTTTGGTTTTTCTGGGACTACTTCGGATCTCTCAGTCCAGTGTTCTGGTTTCGTATCCGAAATAATCCGTGATTGTTGTAAATAGTCAAAATGTGTTCATGCTTGGGAGTGTGGATCGACTCGGACTGTTTTGGCCGCGCATGCGTTTTTTAAGTGTTATGAATATTGTATTGGCTTTTTAGACCATACGGAACGTATGCAATCCCAAATTATTTATTTATATGTGGACGAATGTCTCTTGTTCTGTTTTATTTGTAAATTAAAGCAATTTTAGAATTATTAATTTTTTAATATTATTCTGTTTTTATTTATTCCATTGAAATGTGATGATAATGATAAAAATATACATGCAAATGTTATTTGAAGCTGAGCTTTCAAAAGGAACTTTATTATTATAATAAACAATAAACAAAACACCTTTATGTGTTCTGGTTTTCCAACAATTTCAAACAGTCGGGGATTTTTTGCCTTTACGCATACGGTCCGGCGCAGTTTCAAAACAGTTTTCATTTTGAGAACCAGAACAAACCTAGCGTTATTCATTGAAAAATATAATATTCGTGATATCGATACCTGTGTCGATACGGTCCAGTTTAAGATCGGGAGTGAAAATACATGTTGTGTGAGGTATCAGAGACAATCCAGCTGGAGGTATGGATAAAGGATTTAACGGCGGTATAAAACAATTTTATCAATGAATGTATCTGTAAGCCATTGTACTCCCATAATAAACAACGTACAAAATGCCAAGCCATATTGCCACATATAGTACAAAATACTTGATATCCAACTTAACATTAACTAGATTTTGGAATTTTTTAAAATTATTACATTTAATTTAAGTGAAATTTCATTTATAGTCTATTTATACTCCTTTATTATTAGTATTATGATTAATCATTAAACTGGACTAAATATTCAAAAAGGGTATTTATCACATACTTTGATTACTATATGGTGCAAGAGAGAGGTCCGACACGCCCAACATAGGGCGCGGCCATTTTGATGCCTTTGCCACAGTTTATAGCTAAATAATCAGTTCGCTCACTCTGTGTCGGTATTTTTGAACTCAATGTTCCAGTTTATACACTGCGCAACTCGGATAATACAATATATGACAACCGCCTATAATAAAAGGGCGGTCTTCTGCGCATCCTGAATTTGTATCCTTGGAGTGCATGTTATTTTGGAACTTTCAACTGGTTCGAGTGAGCTAACTGATTCTTTAGCAATAAACTGTGACTTCAAAAATAATATTCACTGACAGTAGGTCTTTTCCTTTGCATCGACAGTGTAGCACTGAGCTACGTCACTTCTGAAAATATTGTTCCATCCATACAATTTGTATAAATGGAACGATATTTTCAGAAGTGGTGTAGCTCAGTGCTACACTTTCGATGCAAAGGAAAAGACCTATTGACAGCAACAAGCAAAATAATAAAAATATTGCGCCAAGATGTAGGCAACCCGTAATAAGGCATCAAAATGGCGGAGTTTTCTATCTCCTTTTAAAAGTCACTCAGAAAGCTGCGCAGTGCGACCATTCTCCGTATAGTAAGAGAATATCAAAGTATGTGGTATGTATACTCTTTTTATAATTAGCATTAGTGCTTCTTTTTTAATATTTTTTTTCTTAATAAGATATAATTCTACAGTCAACAAAATGTTGGTTACTGAAGAAATGTGTAAGAGGCCACAATATTTATTAAGATGTTTGAGTTTTAAACGTGTTTTTACTAATATTTTTACTAGTTAATTTTATTTAACAATATTATTATTCAAAAGAAAGGTTTAATTAAGGGCATTTTAACAGATTTACGTCTCAAATTTATAACAGATAAAAAGAAGCAGAAATTTGAGAAAAATTATACAGAAAAGAGGCCTTTGCTTCCTGGGGGTCTATTCTCGACTTGTAGGAACCTTTTCTTATAGGAATTTGTGACACTTTCCTATATGTAGGAAAAGGTTCCTACCAATGAACTGGAGGGGGGTAGAATGCCAATGTACATGTTTTACTATTAGAACAAGGTGCGACTCGATGGGCGCAGCCATTTTTATTGTTCATCTCACTCGGGACTATTTATAATAACCATTCTCTGTTTCACATTGTTATTGTTCAATCCACAAGCTGGTGGATCAGACAATAACAATGTGAAATAGAAACTGGCTATTTTAAATACTCCCGAGTGAGATAAAAAATAACCTATCTTCGCCCATAGAGTCGCACACACATACTTTGATTCTCTTTTACTATACGGAGAATGGTCGCACTGCGCAGCTTATTGAGTGCCTTTTAAAAGGAGATAGAAAACTCCCCGCCATTTTGAACCCTTATTACGTGTTGCCTACATCTTGGCGCATATTTTTAATAGGTGCGTTTTAATCATCCGCTTCTGCTTCGGAATTGTCGGTTTTCTTGTTTTAATCTGACAGGTTAAAACGACTAAACCGACAATTCCGGAAGCAGAAGCGGATGATTAAAACGCACCTGATATTTTGCTTGCTGCTGTCAGTGTCAGTGAATATTATTTTTGAAGTCACAGTTTATTGCTAAAGAATCAGTTAGCTCACTCGGACCAGTTGAAAGTTCCAAAATAACATCCACTCCAGGGATACAAATTCAGGATACGCAGAAGACTGCTGTTTTATTATAGGCGGTTGTCATATATTGTATTATCCGAGTTGCACAGTGTATAAACTGAAACATTGAGATCAAAAGTACCGACGCAGAGTGAGCGATCTGATTCTTTAGCTGTAAACTGTGTCACAGGGTTCAAAATGGCCGCGCCCTATGTTGGGCGTGTCGGACCTCTCTCTTGCCTCGTATAGTAATCAAAGTATGTGGTCGCACATCAAGTCTATTGACAAGCATTCTACCCCACTCCAGTTCATTGGTTCCTACAAGTCGAGAATCGACCCCCTGGTGGTGACATGTCATTTGTCAACTTTATACTCGGTAAACATTGCTGATACATTTGTACTGAAGTATTATCGTTTTCGAGCTTGTTGGAACAAAACTTCAAAACTATAAACAACATCTGACAACATAATCATATGTGTATTGTCAATTGTCATTATCAATTGTCTAATAAAAACAAAGGCCAAATACGTCATTGATTCATTTGATAGAAAATAAGACATTTAAGATTTATCATAAAAGTTGAACCTGTCAATAGAGAGTTATTGCCACTAATAGTGACAACGTAATTAGAGTCAAATAAATTTCATGCTAAAATAAGACTTTTTTTCCCTGGGCTCGTCTGACTATGTGTCTCCGAATAACACTGAAGCCTATTGGCTTATTGTGTTTTACCCCATGTTAGTTCATAGCACCCACTCTATCACCTTTGTAGCTTGTACAAGTTTGTACAGATCCTTGGGTGAGTGGGTTCTATACGTTGTTGGATCAACCTGGGGTTGTCCAAAAAGAGCCTGTCTTTTGCGATCTAGAGCTTCGCATTCGCACAGTATGTGTTTGGCCGTTTCTGGTTTCTTGTGACATAGTCGGCACATGAGTTCCCCATTGTACATGCCAATTTTGTTCAAGTGTCCCTTTACTGGGGCGTGTCCAGTCATGAACCCTGTTATCACTTTCAACTGGTTCCTATTAATTAAGAGTAGTTCTCCAGTTCTTTTGGGACATGGTCTGCCTATTAAGGCTTTTCCATGTGCCTGTTTTGGGGTGGTTCCCCAATAGTTGATATGTTGTTCCCGAATCCAGTCATTTATAAAACCCCGGACTGTACTTTTTGGTACTCCTGGGTTTGTGTCTGGTTTCGGTGTTTCTTCTGACCCTCTTTTTGCAAGTTCGTCAGCCTTTTCGTTGCCTTCGATCCCTTTGTGACCTGGCACCCAAAATAGTTTTACTCTATTTCGGTCTGCAAGTGTTCTTAGTTCTTCGATGCATTCCCATACCAGCCTCGATGCAACTTTCTGACTCGATATCGCCTTAAGTGCCGCTTGGCTGTCTGACATTATTTGAATATGCTGATTTTCGACAGCTCTTTCATTGTTCGTTTTTGCGCATTGAAAAATTGCGTATTGCCTTCCGCAGTCTTAGACCCGTCTGTATACCAGGTTTGTTCCTGTCGTTGAGCATTGGGCGAGAGTACCTCTTGGTTATGTGGTCTGATATCATGTCTAGCACGTCTCCTGTCACTAACCTTGAGATACTCATCTGACCTGGCCTAATGTCAAGATTTCCCAGTGTATTCCCTAATTTGTAAGCACCTAATCTTGCCTCCCCTTGTATCACATAGTGAAGAGGTGAGAGTCCTATTAGTGCTTCCATTGCAGCAGTGGGGGTTGTTTTCATTGCCCCCGTTATTCCGAGACAAGCAAGTCTTTGTACCTTGCTTAGCCTCGTTATTGCTTTCCTTTGCTGTGTCTTTGGCCACCACACCAAAGCTGCGTATGTTATTATCGGTCTCACCACCATGTTATAAAGCCAGTATACCATGTCTGGTTTTAACCCCCATTTTTTTCCAAAGGATCGCCTTGCCATCATTAATGAGGTTTCCGCTCTCCTTGTGGTTCTTTCTAGATGCTGGTTCCATGTAAGTCTCGAGTCAA